GGGGTTCTCTGTGCCTCCTGAACTTGTGTGACTTTTTCCTTCACCGGGTTAGAGAAGTTTTTTGCCATTATTTCTTCAAACACATTCTCCATTCCTTCCTCCCTTTCTGCCTCTTCTGGCACTCCTGCTATTCCAATATTGTTATGTTTCATGTTGTCCCACAGCTCCCTTAAGCTGCCCTCCTGTTTTTAATTGTTTTTTTCTTTTTGGTTCTCTGATTCTGTGATTTTTTTTTTCTACCTTGTCTTCTAATTCACTGATCTGAAACTTGGCTTCCCCTAATCTGTTGTATATTCCTTCCAATGTGTTCTTTATTTATGCTATTTCATTCTTTATTTCTGTTTTCATAATTACTATATTTTTTATCATGCTGTTGAGCATCTTTGCCATCATTATCCCGAACTCTGTCTGATAAATTTCTTTCTTTTTTTTGTTCACACATGTTTTTATTTTTATTCAACTGTAATCAAACAGCAGAATTAACACATTTGGCAACTCCAGACTGGCTTTTGTTTCACCAGTGGAGAGTGATAAACTTAACACCACAGACTACGGATTTCAGAGAACCTCTCGCTCCGCCCTGTAGCTCAACAGCAAAGGGACTCTGCAGGTTTCCTTACTGCCCTTCAGAGGATACGCCTTTAAATTCTGGGTTCTTATTCTTATATTAACAATCTGATGACCACATCATAGTACCCCAAAATGGAGTTCAAATTTGATCAAAACATAAATCCAGATGTGTGACCCTATACAATGATAAAGGACAGGTAGAAGGATAAGTTACCCTCCAGCTTTGCTCAGGTCTCGCCCGTGAGAGTGGGAACAGGCAAGAGGAGAAATCAACATGCATCACTGAATTTGAGAACACTGCTTGGGGCCCTGGGCGATGTCTGTCTCCTGGCTTTCCCCTACTTCCCAGCCAGCTGCTCATAGAGCTTGGGCACATAGTCATCCCATTCTGCCTGGTACGTGCCGGCCACTGGGGGCCCGAGCTTGTACTTTTTGCAAAAAGATGCCACCTTGAATTTGCCATGGTGGTCTCCAAATTGGTTGCTGAGAATGGGCTTGTCACACTTCAGTGGCTTGGGTTGCTCATCAACCAGCCAGATATAGCCGTGAAGGCCTGTGCCCTTAGGAGGCCCAGAGCCCACATGATCAGAGAGGACAGTGCCACTGCTGATGTTGCCCTTCATGTTGACATGGTTCCATTCCCTCTGAATGTGGGGTCCTTTCTGCCTGGAGCATCTGGGTCTGTCAAGACCAAGGTGTTGCCCTAGCTGGTTTGGCTCAGTGGATAGAGAGCCTGCAGACTGAAGGGTCCCAGGTTCAGTTCCAGTCAAGGGCACATGCCCGGGTTGAGGGCTCAATCCCCAGTAGGGGGCGTGCAGGAGGCAGCCAATCAATGATTCTCTAATCTATGTTTCTCTCTTCCTCTCCCTTTCTCTCTGAAATCAATAAGCATATTTTTTAAAAAAAGACCAAGGTGTAGAGTTTACTTGGATCAAGGCCATCCCATGAAATACCAGTGGGCCAGTTCTGAACCTGGGTGAGTGTCAGCACTTTGCCCAGCTTATCGATCTCCACCCGTAGTATTTGACCTGCAGTGGGTACTTCAGCCTCTTGTCCATTTCCTGCAGGCTCACTGGCATCGCAGGACAAGTGGAGAGACATGGGGGAACCAGGGGCAGGTCAACAGTACCGATGAAGCGGCTCATCTGTCTGATAAATTTATGATCTCCATTTCATTTAGCTCTTCTGGAGAATTCTCTAGTTCTTTCATTTGGGGTTTGGTTTTTTATCTCCCCATTTTGGCTGCCTGTTTGGTTTTGTGACCATGTATTAGGTAGGTCTGCTACACTGTTTCTGACTCAGGCAAAGATCAGGCAATGACTCAAAGCCTCCAAATCGCCTCTGCCTGCACACTGAGTGTATTCAGTCTTGAGTAGCCAAAGGCAATTGTCCACAGGTGAGGTTTTCCAATAGGGTGGGGCAAAGGTCTGCCTGAGAAAGTTGTTGTCTGCAGGTGAGGGAACGACTCAGGTTAGAAACCGGGGTGTTTGCCCTCCATGTTCTAACCCTAGAGCTCCCATCTCTGGCTTCTGCTCACACAGCTCAAGTCCACTCTGCCCTCCCTCTGCTGGAGCCCAGGGTAAGTGCTGCACACGAAATTTTGTGTGTTAGCTCTTTAAGGGGATGTCTGAATTTTTTTTCCTCTGGGTGATGTCTATTATTATTATTTTTAATATTTCAAGAAAAACGATCTTAAATATAATGTTACATGCAATAAACCTTAATATCTCAAGAAAAATTATTTTAAATATGATGTTATGTACAATAAACACCAATTATTCAAGAAAAAGATCTTAATATAATAATATTATATGCGATAAACATTAATATTTCAAGAGGTAAAAGGATTTTAAGTATATTACCAAAACTGTACTAACATAGTATGATATCACAAAAGTTGTAGAAATTATTAAAAACCTGCAAATAACAGGATTACTTCGATTCTAAAATATTTTTTTCCTCTGGCTCTATTTTTGCTCATCAGTTTATGTTCATTATATTCCACATATGAGTGAGATCATGTGATATCTTTCACTGACCGGCTTATTTTGCTTAGCATGATGCTCTCCAGTTCCATCCATGCTGTTGGAAATGGTAAGAGTTCCCTTTTTATAGCAACATAGTATTCCATTGTGTAGATGTACCACAGTTTTTAAATCCACTCATCTGCTGATGGGCACTTAGGCTGTTTTCAAATCTTAGCTATTGTAAATGGTGCTGCTATGAACATAGGGGTGCATATATCCTTTCTGATTGGTGTTTCTGATTTCTTGGGATATATTCATAGAAGTGGGATTACTGGGTCAAATGGAAGTTCCATTTTTAATTTTTGAAGGAGACTCCATAATGTTTTCCACAGTGGTTGCCCCAGTCTGCATTCCTATCAGCAGTGCAGGAGGGTTCCTTTTTCTCTGCATTCTTGCCAGCACTTGGTGTTTGTTGATTTGTTGATGATAGCCGTTCTGACAGGTGTGAGATGGTACCTCATTGTTGTTTTGATTTGCATCTCTCGGATGATTAGTGACTTTGAGCATGTTTTCATATGTCTCTTGGCCTTCTGTATCTCCTCTTTTGAAATGTGTCTATTTAGGTTCTTTGCCCATTTTTTGATTGGATTGTTTATCTTCCTTTTGTTAAGTTGTATAAGTTCCCTGTAAACGTTGGAGATTAAACCCTTATCGGTGATAACATTGGCAAAAAAAAAATGTTCTCCCATGCAGCGGGCTTTCTTGTTTTGTTGGTGGTTTCTTTCGCTGTGCAGAAGCTTTTTATTTTGATGTAGTCCCATTTGTTTATTTTCTCTTTCGTTTTCATTGCCCTAGGTGCTGTACTGGTGGAGATATTTCTACAATATATGTATGCAATTTTGCTTCCTATGGATTCTTCCAAGATTTTTATGGTTTCCTGTCTGTGTTTAAGTCCTTTATTCATTTTGAGTTTATTTTTGTGTATGGTGTAAGTTGGTGATCTAGTTTCATTTTTTTGCATGCACCTGCCCAATTTTCCCAACACCATTTATTGAAGAGACTATCTTGTCTCCATTGTATGCTCTTGCCTCCTTTGTCAAATATTATCCTATATAATAAAAGCCTAATATGCTAAGTGTCTGGTCATCTGTTCAACCAATCAAAGTGTAATGCTAAGGCTGCTCAACTGCTCACTCTGATGTGCACTGACCACCAGGGGGCAGATGATCTGACCGGTAGGTTAGCTTACTGCTGGGGTACGCCCTATTGGGACTGAGCAAGATGGGCTGGACATGCCCTGGAGCCCTCCCACGGTGCCTCTCCGGCTGGCCAACCTCCCGCATCCCTCACCAACCCCGACTGTGCACCTGTGGGGTCCCTTGGCCTGGCCTGCACCCTCTTGCAATCCAGAACCCCTCAGGGGATGTTGGCGAGCCGGTTTCAGCCTGATCCTGCAGGCCAGGCCGAGAGACCCCACTGGTGCATGAATTTGTGCACTGGGCCTCTAGTTTGAGTATAATGGCTTGGGTCGATTTCTGGGTTCTCTGTTCTGTTTCATTGGTCTATATGTTCTTGTGCCAATACCAGGCAGTTTTGAGGACAGTGGCGTTGTAGTATAGCTTGAGATCTGGTATTGTGATCCCTCCAACTTTGGTCTTTTTTCTCAGGATTGCTGCAGCTATTCGGGGTCTGGTGCCTGAATTTGTAGCCATCTCTCCTTGGCAGACAGCAACCCTGCTGTTTTTCACAGCCAGAAGTTATGTGGGCACCCTTCTCCGTTCTGGTTCTCTCTGCTGGGGGGCCCAGCTTGGGGGTTACACCCCAGAGTTCTCAGTGGCAACCCCCCACAGCTGGGATATCCCTCTGGGACTTCAGCTGCTCTCTGTGGGAGCCCCGCCAGCCCTTTTGCGCCTCTGCCCCTCCTACCAGTCTCTATGTGGTCTGCACTTTCAGTCCTTGATTATCAGGGTTCTCTCCAGCTCCGTGGTCGGCAAACTGCTGCTCGTGAGCCATATGCGGCTCTTTGGCCCCTTGAGTGTGGCTCTTCCTAAGCCTTAGGAGGACCCTAATTAAGTTAATAACAATGTACCTACCTATATAGTTTGAGTTAAAACTAAAAATTTGGCTCTCAAAAGAAATTTCAGTCGTTGTACTGTTGATTTTTGACTCTGTTGACTAATGAGTTTGCCGACCACTCCTCCAGCTAGTCTTCAGTTGATTATTCAGGATGCTTTTTGTTGTTGTTGTATTTTAGCTGTAATTCCAGTTTGATTCTGAGAGCGTGTCTGTGTAGCTTCCACTTACTCTGCTGCCATTTCTAATCCTCCTCGGGGTTTATTCTTGATCACACAGCTAATAATCTGAGGCCATTTGTTCTTATTTTATTTTATTTTTAATTCTTTATTGTTTAAAGTATTACATAAGTCTCCTTTTCCCCCCATTGACCTCTCCCCAGCCGCTCCCACCCCCCAGCACATGCCCTTACCCTGCTACTGTCTGTGTGCCTTGGTTATGCTCATATGCATGCATACAAGTCCTTTGGTTGATCTCTTACCCCCTCACCCCCCGCCTTCCCTCATAGGTTGGGCAGTCTGTTCGATTGTAGCCATTTGTTCTTAACTCAGTTTGATGCTGATCAGAATCTGGTGTCCTAAGGGCTTAATGATTAAGGAATGCAGTGAATGAACAGAAAGGAGAAAAGGGATATATATATATATATATATATATATATATATATATATATATATTTCAGGAGAGGGAAAGAGAGAAACATCAATGACGAGGGAATCATCAAACTGCTGCCCTCTGCATGCCCCCTACTGGAGACTGAGTTTGCCACAGGGGCGTGTGCCCTTGACCAGAATAGAACCCCAGACCCTTCAGTCTGCAGGCCAATGCTCTAGCCACTGAGCCAAACTGGCTAGGGCAGAAAGGGTCATATTAAAGAAATGGAGTTTCTGAGCAATTACATTTATCTGTTTTATGTCAGTTTAATTAGGTCAGCCAAGGAGCCTAAAAGAGTAGGGAAAAAATTTTCCTCTGTGACAGTTTGCACACACAACACCTAAAGTCCATGTATGTGCTGTAGGGGAAGAAAAATTGCCTTCAGCTGAAAGAATTGAAATTCTAAAGTGGCATGTTTTGGGGTAGCATATTCTGTCAGCCACCCATGTCTGTTTTTGGACGGGAGTGTCCTATAAAGGACAGGGTGAAATCCTTAAAGATGTTCAGACTGTGAAAGGGTGGCATTACTGTTGGGTGAAACCATCAGATTTTTTTAAAAGGTGCCAGGAGGCAGGTACTCTTTAGAGTTAAGGTAAGCAGGTGTGGGTGGAAACGGCCTGCATTGTTCCTGGTGGAGCCGCAGAGGAGCTGATGTAAGGAAGTGGTTCTGGTTCGAGGGCGGGTTACATGGTACGTACATAGTAATCTTTGGCCTGGAGTTCTCGTAAATGCTGTGGGTTGTTCTAGAATAGATGCTCTACACGCATGAACTTACTGAATCCTCACACCTAAGAGAAGGTGTTACTGTCCCCGTTTCCAGGTGAGGACAGGAGGCACAGAGGCTGGCACTCCCTGTAGGTCACAGCTGGGAGTGCAGCCACCCCAGGTGGACGGCTTTGAGCCTGGGTTCTGAAGGCCGCTCACCACACCGCCTCCACCAAGGCTACGGAAACACCGTCCGTGGGGACACGAGCTTTGGGAAGCTTCCCTAAGCCAAGTCTGCACCTTGACCCCACATGCAGTCCTCCGTTCAGAGCACCACCACCTTCATGGCCCCGTCTCCGTGTGCCCTCAGCCCAGCTTCAGACTCAGGGCTGGAAGTGGGTCACAGGATGGAAAATGAGAGGGGCTGGCCTGAGGGGAACTGGAAGTGTTTGCTATGACAGGAAAGCAGAAGAAAGGGAAAGTCCCTGCCTTCACCCTCCCTGGTGACGGGAAAGGGGTCAGGCCCTGTGTGTGCGAAGGTAGGGAAGGAAGAGAACGACCAGGGGAAAGTGGGAAAGGCAGGGAGGGAATGTGGGCAGACAGGCAGGGACCTGGAGCCACAGCAGCTTCTTCAGAAAGCGCTTCAGTTTGCAGCGTTAAAGGCGGACGTGAACTTGCAGAGAACGCCCAGGCCTATAGGGTTTTCTAGCACCAACTCCTCCACATCCCCCACCTACCAAGGGCTCCACTGTTAGCCACACTCTCCCCTACACCCCCACAGTGTTGGAAGGGACGTCTAGGATGAAGGCGTGTGGCCCCATGTAGGTCTCCATGGCAGTGAGATGAGAGCTGGACAAGTTCTTGGCTCTGCCTGTGCACAAAGCTGCTGGGCTGGGGAGAGCGAAGGGCAAGATTGTTCACTGGTGTGAGTCACTGTGAACCCCACCCACTTGAGGCAAACTTGGCCAGTTTAATTGGTGGGAACTGTCACCCGGGCGAGGGACTGTGGCTTTTTCAGCAGCCTCGTTAGCTCTCAGTCAACGAGGAAGCCTCTGGGTGAGGAAACTGTGGCCAGACCAGCAGCGGGCCGTGCTCTCGGCCCCCAGACTGGAGGCTGTGGGGCCTGTGCACAGGGCGCCTGCAGACGGAGCCGCCTGGCCACCTGCCTGTGGAGATGCTGGGGCCAGCTCTCGCCTTCCTAGTCCTGTTCCTGCAGGGACGGCACAGCCCAGGTGAGGCCCCTTCTGCATGCGGGGGTGGGGGTGGGGGTGGGGGCGGTGCTGCATGGACTAGCGGCCAGGCCCATGGGCGTCAGATCCTGCCCCCTCTGGGTGGTGTGGCTCGCCAGGATCATTTGGAACTGGGCTGAGCACCTGACGGGGGACAGGCTGGTGGAGGGTGGTGGGGCCTTGAGCACAGCCTCAGGCTTACTTGACCTCTGTGTGGTGGGAGGGTGTCCTTCCTGGCTGTGAGGAGGGCCAAGGAAATAGCCTCTAATTGGGTGCTATTAGCAGCAGAAAGGAGAGGGCCCCTGGGCTTGGGTTTCCACCAGGAAGCGAGTGGTTCTGGGGGTCAGAGACCACAGATTGTCCCTGAGGCAGGAAAGCTGGTGCCCAGGTGTCCTCTGCCTGGTGGCCTGGCCCTGCTGGCAGCACCCAGGCCACAGGCGCCTGAAGGGGGAGAACGTGCTGCCACTGAGAAGCTGCACAGAGAAGCAGCTGGAAGCCTGAGGGGACCAGGCCGCCGCATTCAGTGGTCTCAGCTGCAGGCAGCCCCCTTTGGAGACTTGGAGGCATTCCAGGTTGACTAATCCTCCAGGGCATTGTGGGCGGGTGCGGGAGGGGCACACTGGGCATGAAGGGAGGAAACTGAGGCCCAGGAGTGTGTGTCCGGGGCCTGTGAGAAGGCTGAGGTCGGGCTGAGGGGTCAGGAGCCTGGCTTTGGGGATAGAAGGTCGAGGCCAAGATGAGATGATGAGACTGCGATGGGGCGAGCTCTCCTTCAGCTGCCGGCCCTGCAGACAGCCCTGGCGGGTGGCGCTGGGTGCGGGGTGGGGGGCATGGGCTCCAGCAGCGCTGGGTGCGGGGTGGGGGCGATGGGCTCGGTCTGAGGAAACCGCTCGCAGTGTCCTGCAGGGCTGGCCTGGGTAGGCTGACGGAAACCACTCTTGTTTTTAATTTTTTTTTTGGAATATATTTTATTGATTTTTTACAGAGAGGAAGGGAGAGAGATAGAGAGCTAGAAACATCGACGAGAGAGAAACATCGATCAGCTGCCTCCTGCACATCCCCCACTGGGGACATGCCCGCAACCCAGGTACATGCCCTTGACCGGAATCGAACCAGGGACCCTTCAGTCCGCAGGCCGACGCTCTATCCACTGAGCCAAACCGGTTTTGGCCTTGTTTTTAATTTTTAAATGTTTAGTTTGAAAAAATTTCGGAGTTCCAGAGCAATTGTAAGAAAATGCTTGTATATATTTCTTCACCTGGACTCACCAGTTACATTTACTCTCCTTCGCTTCGGTCCCTCTTCTCTCCACATGACGCAGGTGCATAGAAATGTTTGCTGGTAATGGTTTTTGTTGAACCATTTGAGAGTGATGCCGCTTCACTCCTAAATGTTTTGGTCCACATCTTTTAAGAACAGGAATATTTCCTATCATATGACTTCATCACAACGATCACATTTAGAAAACCTGATACTGATCCCATCGAATACATAGTCCACTCGCAAATGCTGCTCGTTATGCCAGCAGCGCCGAGGCCATGGCAGTTCCCTGCCGCCACCGGGCGGACTGGGCGCTCCATCCACCGGCTCGTCCTCTGCAGCGCGCCCCGCGCTCCTGCTCCTCGCAGGCCATGGAGGGACAATCAGATGCTTGAGGCTCCTCATCTGCTTGGTCGGCTGTTTCCTCGTGTGGTTCGGGTCAACGCCTTTGGCAAGAATGCCGTCAACGCGATGCTGGCTTTCTGTTTTTGTGTTTAATCCTCACCCGAGGATGTTTTCCACTGACTTCTTTAGGGGGGAAGGCGGGGGGGGGGGGGGGTGAGGGGGGGCGATTTGAGAGAGAGACACTGATGTGAGAGGGGCACGTTGATTGGTGCCTCCCACACACGCCCCAGGGCTAGTGACTGAAACTGCAACCCAGGAACGTGCCCTGGACCCAGAACCGAACTGGCGACCCTTTGGTGCTCGGGACAACGCTGTAACCACTGAGCCACCGGGCAGGGCCTGGGTGGGTTGGTTTGTTTCATTTCATCCCCTCAGGAGACACGATGACAGTGAAACGTTTTCTTAACAACTTGGGTTCCTGGGGAATTTAATGACATGTGCGGGAAACTCACTCTCCAGCGCTGCCGTCTTCCGCAGGCTGCGCCCCGTGGTCTGCGGGCTCTGCCCGCCTCTGCTGCTCACGGCCTTGCAGCCAGGCCGGCCTGCAGGCTCCTCCCCGCCACCCCTCAGGGTTCCGCTCGAAGCCCGCCTCCCAGTGAGGTCTTCCTTCCCCGGAAACGCCCTCCCTGCCGCGAGGAGGCCCTCCCCGCTCCGGGCTCACTGTCTGCAGCGCAGCCTCCATTGCTCACCTCCCCCGATCACCTACTTGTTTTGTCTCCCAGGCTGCTCTGTGCTCCGGGGCGCAGGTCTGAGGCCAGGCCTCTGTCTGTCCTGCGCAGACTCTCGGAACCAGAGTGAACGAGCCAAGTGCGAGGTACACGCTTCTGTGGCCGTGAGGACGGGGACTCGCCTCCTGTTTCCTCGTCTCTCGTGTGTCGAGTGGGGACAGCAGTGGTGCCCGCTCCCTGGGGCGGCGAGGCCCGGAGCAGGGGGCCCAGACCCAAGTGCTGGGAAGCCAGGCCCCCAGCCCGGCGTGGAGGCCGGGCGGCCGGGCACTGAGGCCCCTAACAGAGTCCAGAGAGACTGCGCAGCAGCCCTTCCTCCACCACTTAACTGAATGGAAAGTAAGAAAGTCTTGCGATGATGATAAACCTCCACCGTGTGGCTCTTGGCTGAGGTCTCTCATAATCGTAACCAGGAATGTAGGGAGACCTCAACACTTTTCCCTTAAGGAAGCATGTATTTCCCTTAGGAGACATTTAGTTGTATTATTGCATCATATTGTGAAATATTTTTTTTAATATATTTTATTGATTTTCCACAGAGAGGAAGGGAGAGAGATAGAGAGTCAGAAACATCGATGAGAGAGAAACATCGATCAGCCGCCTCCTGCACATCCCCCACTGGGGATGTGCCCGCAACCCAGGTACATGCCCTTGACCAGAATCGAACCTGGGATCTTTCAGTCTGCAGGCCGACGCTCTATCCACTGAGCCAAACCGGTTTCGGCATATTGTGAAATATTTTAATTGTTTTCTCGGCAACATCTCCCTCTCCATTCCCACTCCTTCCCTGGACGTGTTTTGAACAGCTGTCTGAGACCCTGGGTTCCACGGTCTTCCTCTCACATGGCTACAGGGTGGTTAGTGCGAAACACGCAGGGGCTAAGGCACGCCGACTGAAGAGGTGAATTCTTTTCAAGCAGCTCAGAGGCAGAGGGGGATGAGTGTGGGTCAGATGAGTGGGGGGAGGGGGGCCTTCAGATCCCTGCCCACAGGAGGGGCCTGTCCTCAAGTTCACTTTGGACCCTAAACTCCGGTTTTGGCTGTGATTCCGAGGAAACCCCACAGGACACACTGGAGGCTGCGAACAAATGGGGGGGGGGGGGGGGCGGGCAGCACCTGCGGGTCAGCTGAAGGGCTGCGGCCACAGCCACTTCCCAGGAGGAATCGCCTGGCTGCAGGGTGCCCGGCAAGCTCTTCCCTTCCTCACAGTGAGTGGGGGCCTGCGGGGCTCAGGAGAGCGCCTGGCGCAGGGGCGCTGGACCCGCTGGAAGGAGCCGGACCTGCAGAAATCACCGTAGGGCCGGCTGAGCAGTTTCAGCACCACACCTTGCCCACCGCAGTGTGACCGGCACAGAGGACACCGTTCGGGGAACAGAGCCCCGGGCGGACGCGTTTCCTCCCGCGTTTCTTCCCCCCTTTCCAGACCCAATTCCCCCCCCCCCCCGCCCCCCCACACACCCCGGCATCCTTGGCCAGTTCCCGTGAATGGGGACAGCAGGTACTCTTGTGTTTGGCCTCTTTTGCTCCACATCTGATGAGATGGTCCTGTGTGCAGCTGATCATTTCATGGCCGATTGAGATTTCATTGTCTGACTATATGATAGTTCATTCACCCATTCTGCCATTGCGGACGCTGCGTCGCGCCCGGGTTTTCTGTGTAATGCTTCTGTGAGCCTTTTGTGCGTGCTACGTGAGTCATTTCTGGGAGTTAACTGAGGTAGATTTGGGAATTTAATTAGGTAATTAATTAAACAGCTCCATTAAGCCCTTGTTATGTTCCAAGACATGCAAGATTTTGTGAGGGAAAAAGATGAAACAGATGTGGATTCTATCCTTAAGAATCTTCCCGATTGTTAGAGGAAGAGTCGTGTAAAACAAGGAGAGACAGAAAATGCTGAGGGTTGCTCAGAGGCAAGCTGTGCTTAGAGAAGAAAGGCCTGAGAAAATGGAGCTTCCTGTTGGTGCAGACCCCGGGGAAGGGCCTTGCAGGATGAAGAGGAGTTCGGGAGGAGGGAGCAGGGCAGTGCTAGCCCGGAGCAGCCTGGACAGAGTGGGGCGCACGCGGTGACTGGCACCCGCAAGGCGCCGCCCTCCTTTTCTTGGAGAGACGGTGTGAGTGACAGGATGCAGGTGAGGCTGGAGGTCTGGGCTGCCCTGGGAGAGAGGCCTGCGCGCGGCGGGTGCGGGTGCGCACGGGGCCTGGGGGGTGGGGCGCGGGACCCGCCGTGGGGCTTTGCGGGACGGTCCTGCGCCGGCATCTGAGTCTCAGGCTCCGCAGACCCGCAGCCGCCTCCGGGCCGCCCGTTCCAGCCCTGAGCTGGGGAACCTCAGCGTCCTCTGTCGCTGGTGGAAGTTCCCCTCTCCGAGGCCCCTGCGCCCCCCGCCCTCGTCCAGAGCGACTCCCGGCTGCGGGGTCCGAGGCCTCCGGCCCCCCCCCCCACTTCCCCCCCTCCCCCCCACTTCCCCCCCCGCCTCCATTTCTACCCCCCCACCCCCCCCCCGCCTGCCCCCCTCCCCCCACCCCCACCCCGCCTGCCTCCCTCCCGCGCCAGCGGCGGAGGCCACAGAACAAAACGCAACAACAAAAAGCAGCTCCAAGTTTGAGGCCTCGGG